TCAGAACGATCCGCCCGCCTTGGCCTCCCAGAGTGCTAGGATTACAGGCATGAGCCACTGCGCCCAGCCTTAGAAGTCTGGATTTTTAAAAATAAAACAGGCCTGTGGACTAAATTTGACCCCTCAGTTATGAGTTTCTGATGCCTTTCAAAAATCTTTTGATCTGTTCTTAGCTATGTCTTAGAGAGATTAGTGACTCTCTGGGTTCTTGCATATTTAGTCTGAAAGATAAGTACCTCAGAGTCTTTGAGTTGAAAACCTTTAATATATGTAGTCTTACAAGGAGAAGAGGGTGGAGTTTGTATCTGACTCTTTGCCTATAATAGAATTGTATGCCAGCAACGTTCTTATTAGTTGGTATATGTGTACATTAAAAGGGAACGAATATGGTACTGAAGCTTCCTGAGCCCTTAGGATGGAATGTAAGGAGAAAAAATAAGGAAAAAACTGAAGCAGAGAATTGGATTAGTGTTGGATCAGAGAATGGGATGAAATTCATTGGTATTGTCATGAAGCAAATTTTGTATATAAGAATCTAGATTTAAAACTTTTAAAAAAATTTTTATTATTTTTTATAACAGTCCTAAACTAGAGACAGATTTTTAAAATTTTGACTATTTTAACATTGGCGTCACCATGAGAAATCATTAAAAGTAAGCTGTGTTAGAATATTATAAATGGTCATTGCTTCCTCTGCATTTAGGTGAAGCTTTTAAGTGTTGCTTGTAACTGGACTCTGTTCAGATTACTTGCTGTCATCTTTCATTTTACTATGGAAGGTTTCAAGCCTATGTGAAAGCAGAGAGAGCAGTATAGTGAACCACCATGTATTCATCACCCAATTTAAAACATTATCTTCTCCTGGCCAGTATTGATTCATTTATAGATACTTCCAGCACCCCCCTCCCCACTAAATTATCCTGAAAACAATTCCAGCATTATATCATTTTATCTGTAAATATTTCAATGCTATTAGGTTATTAAGTATGAAATGTCCCATTTCCTTAAGTACTAAGTTTGGTAGTTAATATCTATGACATTTCACTTTGAGGCTTCTTGTTTTATTTTTATTGTGAAGGTACATCCTCATTCTTTCAAATGCAGGTTTTGACTTGTGATTATCTTTCATATTTTTTAGAACAATTTTTATACAACCATAGGTATATCAAAAATTCATATTATTTTCAAATATGAGTTCTGTTGTGGAACAAGTACAACACAGACAGCTCAAAATATCAACAAAGTGTTTGGAAAGGATGTGGCTAATGAATACACAGTACGTTGATGGTTTAAAAAGTTCTGTTCTGGTAATTTTAATCTTAAAAATTAGCCATGCGGACGACCTTGGACCAAGGTGGAGGATGATAAACTGAAAACTGTAGTGGAAGTGAATTCATCTCAACCTATGCATAAATTAACAAGGTTTGATGTTATTTTTCCAACAGTATTAGACCATTTAAAACAAATTGACAAGGTAAAGAAGCTGGATAAATAGGTACTACATAAATTAAAAAAATCAAAAGAAAAATTGTCTCGAAGCTTGCCTTTCTTTGCTGTCATGACATAAAGGCAAACCATTTCTACATTGTATTGTTATGTGTGATGAAAAATGGATTCTTTTTAACAACTGCAAGCATTCAGCACAATGGTTGAAGTGCCGAAACATAGTCAAAAACCAAATATCAAAAAAAGCTAATGGTGTCTCTTTGGTGGTCCAGTAGTGATATTATACACTACAGCTTCATAAAACCTAGTCAATTGATTACAGCAGATGTCTACTACAACTAAGTGGATGAAATGAAGAGGATACTTGCAGTTAAACAGCTGAGATTGATCATTAGAGACAGGCCAATCCTCTTACAAGACAATGCTCAACCACATGTCACCTGAATGCTGCTCATACTACAGAGACTGGACTCAGAAACTCTCTGTCATCTATCATATTCACCAGACCTTACACCAACTGACTACCACTTCTTCCAGGCTTTGGATCACTTACTACAAGAGAAAATATTCCGTTCTCAACAAGCTGTGAGAAACACCTTTCGTGATTTCATTCCTACTCGCTCTCCAGGCTTTTTCCTTTGCTGGCATAAACAAGCTACCATTAAGATGACAAAACTGTGTCAATAGTATAGATACATACTTCGATTAATTTTACTGGTTCTTGCTTGAGGTGTAATAAACTTAACTTTTGATTCAAAATCAGACATTTCATATTTAATGACCTAATATCTCTAAAAGAAGGATTCTTATTTTAATTAACCATATTACTATTATTATACTTTAGAAAATTAACAATGGTTCCTTGATGTCATCAAATATTCAGTGTTTAGATTTCTCTGATTGCCTCATAAATGTTTTTTTCAGTTTGTTTGAATCAAGATCTAAATAAGGTCTACATGTTGCATTTGATTGATAAGTCTCTTAAGTCTTTTTAAATTTAGAGTGCCCCTCTTTTTTTCCATTTTGCAGATTATTTGTTGAAGGAACTAGATTGTTGTATGATTTTCTACATTCTGGATTTTGCTAATTACATCTTTATGGTATTAAGTATAGTCCACTATCTATGTTATTTCCAGTGAATCTTCCTTGAAAAATTTAAATTATGCCAATTTGAAACAAGTATGAAGAATTTACATTTTGGTGTAAGGTGGTTTAGAGTTTAGGATGCAGAGAAAGAATTTTATTCCCTCTATGCCTAAAAGGATAATCTACAGAGGTACTTTTCCTTTCAAAACTAGCACAGTATCTTGCTTTAATATATTATCTTAGTCCTCAGAAGACCATGTCTCTGTTGAGCTGCGTCTGTGAAGCCCAGCAAGAGGATAAGGCTCGAAGTGAGGATCCCCCCTCCGCACCCATCAGGTAAGCATTATTTTCGTAGTATCTTCGGGACTACAGTGATTCATAAAATGGTTGGTACCAAAATCTAATACACACTGTGCTGTAGTTTGGATGTGGCTGCCAAAGTTCATGTGTTGGAAACTTAATCCCTCATGCAACAGTGTTGGAAGGTGGGGTCTTAGAGAGAGAATTAGGTCATGGGGCACTGCCCTCAAGAATGGATTAAGGCTGATATAGTGAGAGTGTGTTAGTTATAAAAGGGGAGAGTTTGGCCCCCTTTCTACCCTCTTGCATGTGCTCTTGCCATGTGATACCTTCCAGCATGTTACGATGTAATAAGAAGGCCCTCACTAGATGGCTGAGCAGATACTGGTGCCATGTCCTTGAACATCCCAGCCTCCAGAACCGTGAGCCAAATACTGTAACTCTCTCTCTTTTCTTTATAAATTGCCCAGTCTGTGTGGTATTCTGTTATAACAGCAAAAAACAGACTAAGACATACTGCTGTTTTGTGAGCTTGAGCTTACTTTTTTTTTTTTTTTTTTTTGAGACAGAGTCTCACGGTGTTGCCTGGGCTAGAGTGCCGTGGCGTCAGCCTAGCTCACAGCAACCTCAAACTCCTG